GAACCACAGATAAACAAGAGGATGAAGTCGTACTCGGTTGTGGAAAAATTACAATTAATCCAATATTCTGGATCCCAACAGGTGCCACATCTTGCTAAGGTAAAAACTAAGTAGTAGGCAAATAAGTTTCGTCAGGCCAAGTGTATTTCCATCCTGTGTCTTCCAGAATTTGGTATTACCGACAGACACTTTGTCCGCTTCCACAGCTTTTCATTCACCCTTTTCTAACAATATACTGTCATGGTTTACACCGACAGAGTGTGTGTTTGTGTCCCAACTGCATTTTATTCGGGGTTTTCATCTCGGAAGCCGGAAAAGTTAGAAAACTAGAATTCTGAGTTGGGACCTCCTACCAGCATGTGATTTCGCAAACTCAAATTCAGCGTCCGCATACACCAAGGTTTCACGTACGGCCACGTGAAAATTCTGGCGCCTAAATCAATAGTACAGGAAGCACAAAAGCTAAGGATCTGAGATTTTAGGAGAATGCTCATTGTCCACGTACGGCTACGTAAAGTCATTCAGCCGTCCCGCACTCCTAGTTTGTGCGCAGAGAGACGTGAGGTTTTTGATGCCAAAATTAATAAAACGGGAACGAAGAAAGTAAGGGAGCTAAAATTTCAGAATAATGCTTCTGCTTGCTTATAAGTTCAGTTTTTGCGCATGCCTAATTCACGGGCATGATGGATATGCGAAAGTTTTGGCGCTAGAACTAATAATTCAGGAATCACAAAAGCTAAGAAGCTGAAATTTTAGGAGAGTATTTTTCATTCACGTACAGCTCAAGGAATTTAAAAACAGCCTTCACGCGCGCCTTACTCTCACGTACATGCACACTAAAGTTTTCTTGCGGAAATTGTTACTTTGAGAACCATAAAAGCTAAGAACCTAGAACTACAGACTCTGTAAATTTAAATATACCCTAAATTTTTTTTTTTGCGAAAATTATTAACTCGAGAATCAAGAAATTCGGGAGTTTGGAATTTCAGAAGAATGCCCCTCGTCCGTATATAAACTATTCCCCGCGTGCCTAGACCTCACGTACGGAAACGCGAAGGTTTTGGCGCCAAACTTATTAGCCCAGAAACTATAAAGGCTCTCTTACATATCAACTGTGATGCGGTGGACACATTTAACAGCAAAGTTCCCCTGGACAGAGTTGCACAAGCGTTAGTTGGACAAGGTAGCATAAGCATCCGCCGGGCTGAATTGTACAAGCGTTTGCTGGACAGGGTTGCACAAAACGCATTATCGCACCAGTTACCCCAGTTACCCTGGTGCGATAATGTGTTTTGTGCAACTCTGTCCAGCAAACGCTTGTACAGCTGTCCATACTCTGGGAAGGAAGAATTGAATTATTGCACAAAGTTTAGTCCGAAGATGGAGATGTCGTCGGCAAAGCTGCCGCAAATTTTGGCATATAATCATAATTTTTAGCGCTGGGATCGTGGTCGCTTAGATTGCTTTGCCATCTTGAGCATAAATACCACATATCACTAACATGGGATGCCCACG